ACCGCATATCACCCACAGACTGACAGGCAGAGCGAGCGGACAATTCAGACACTCGAGGATATGCTCCGAGCATGTGTTCTAGATTTTGGCAGGGGTTGGGACACATATTTTCCCTTGGCAGAGTTTTCGTACAACAATAGCCATCATTCAAGCATTGGTATGCCACCCTTTGAGCTGTTGTATGGGAGGAGGTGTCGGACCCCCATTTGTTGGGGAGAGGTGGGGCAACGTGTAATGGGTAGTACGGAGATCGTGCTTCAGACGACTGAGCAGATACAACAGGTCAGGCAGAAGTTGTTGATCGCTTAGAGTCGTCAGAAGAGTTATGCGGACAGGCGTCGGTCCGAGCTTGATTTTCAGGTCGGTGACTTCGTACTCTTAAAGGTCTCTCCTTCTAAAGGAGTGATCCGATTCAGGAAGAGGGGAAAGTTGGGGCCTCAATATATTGGACCTTTTAGGGTAATCGCGAGGGTAGGCAGGGTAGACTACCGTTTGGAGCTACCTGCGGAGTTGGTTCAGATTCATGACACTTTTCACGTGTCGCAGTTGAGAAAGTATATAGCCGACGAGTCGGCAGTAGTACCATTAGAGGATATTCAGGTGGACGTAGGCCTGAACTATGTTGAGAGACCGGTGGCAATTAGGGATCGGAAGGTCAAGGTTCTGAGGAACAAGGAAGTGCCTCTGGTGCAGGTGCAGTGGCAGCATAGGAAGGTGTCAGAGCTGACTTGGGAGCCGGAACGCAAGATACGTGAGCAACATCCAGAGTTGTTTGCAGAATGAGACTTTGAGGGTGAAGTTCGATTCTAGTAGGGGAGAATTGTAACATCCGGAATCCCAGGTATATTATTCTAATATTTTATTTTTGGAATTAGTGAGGGAACTCGGCGAGTTGATGCTTAGACTCGCCGAGTAGGGTCGCGGTTGATCATCCAGGTTCGCGATGGACTCGGCGAGTCCACGCTGTTTAATGAAACCCTAATCCTCCGGGGTTGGAGCCTATTTAAGGGCACTCTTAGCCTTCCATTACGGCTACCAGTCCCTTGAGAGCACCCTAAGTGAGATAGATCGTTTGGGAGGAAGGAGAAGCCATATTTGACCTTTATATCTTTGGTTTAGCAAGAAGAAGGTGATCAAGAGCAAGAGGAGACTGAAGGAGGTGTGGTTCTAGCGGTTTCAGAGTTCTGAGACTTCAACTTGAGGTATTTATTCGGATCTTCTTCAATTTTGGTATTGATACATAGAGTTAGGGTTTTCTAACCACCTTTGAGGATGTTTATGTGGAGCAATTGGTCCCTTATCGAGTTTATGCTTTGGATCTGGACCCAAAGAGGTCCAGAGACCTTAACCCTTGGAGCTTTATGAGTTATCTTGGGAGTTATGAGCTTAGGATGCCATTTTTGGGCTAAAATCTCCAAGTGTTACCATCTAGATGATATATGAGTGTCAAGGTCTGGACTTTATGTGTTTATTATGCTTGGGAAGGACAGATCTATGGATTGGAGGAACAGATCTGACCTCAGGAGGTCAATAGAGTTTGTGCATGGCATGTACTCGCCGAGTTGTTCTTGAGACTCGGCGAGTTGAGTCGGGGTAGCCCCGCAATTCTTACCTAGGGACTCATCGAGTAAAGGGAGGGACTCAACGTGTTAAATGGGACTAAAGAGTTAAGTGGACACAGGTGGACTCGCCGAGTTGCCCAAGTTCACTCGCCGAGTCGGGTCAAAGTTTGACCGTTAACTTTGAAGGTTTGGTCAACAACGAGGGCCTTTGAGCTAAAAGAGGGGTAAAATGGTCTTTTACCCTTCTGAGGGAGCTTAGAGAAAGTAGAGTCTAGTTCGGAGAGTTATATTTATGAGAATATTACTTTATGTGTTTAGGCGGAGGATAGATCGTATTTCTACCGAGTCGGTGATTTACCGAGATATCTGAGGTAAGTCTTGTCACTATACTGTACCTGGAAGGGTACCTATGTGTGACCGGAAGGTCTGATATGCTATAAGATATATGCATTGTATGTGATTAGTTACCCGTTTTGTATGTGTTATGTATGTTATGCTTGATATGGGCCGGAAGGCATTATGTTATAGGACGGAAGGCATTATGATGTAGACCGGAAGGTCAGGGAGTTATGGACCGGAAGGTCGACACGGGAAGGACCGGAAGGTTTACCGGGTTGGGACGGAAGTCCCCTGAGACACATGGACCGGAAGGTCATGGCCTAGAAGGGCGTATGTGTGTAAGTGGTATATTGGGGAACTCACTAAGCATTTATGCTTACAGTTGTGTGTTATGTGTTTCAGGTACTAGCGAGGACCGTGGGAAGGCGCCGGCGTGATTCGTACACACTAGAGAAAGGATTTGATTTTTTTGTGATCTTGGGATACGATATGTTTTGATAATTATTGTTGAATGATTTTGAAAATATTTTATGTGAAAATGGTAGTGACTAAAAAATGAAATTTTTGTTTTGAAAATTACGTTGTTACAATATTCTATAAGAATATGATTGCATTTACAAAACCACGTATTAATCTTTTAAAACCAATATACTCCATTCTTGTACATATTCTTAAAGAATATGATATTCTAGAAGAATATGATTGCATATACAGATTTACGTATTCTTCTTTTAAAATTATCAATATACTACATATTCTTGAAGAATGTGACAGCTCTTCTTTAAAAACAAAATCGCACCAATATGATATCAAATATAAAAAAAAGTCACACCTCTTCCTTAAAATCGATTTATAGATCAGAGAAGGTCGACGTTAATGTTTCTCGAAATCAATTTACATATTGGAGAAAATAGATGATGATGAAAGATAAGACCAAAAATAGGTAACGTGTTCGTAGCTAAATTTAAGGAATAGATAAATCTAATTAATTGATATTTACATTATTTTACTATAATCTCTCTATCAAACGATTGGTCTAGAATCCGTCATACGTTCACACAATATATAAGTTTTATATATGAATCTCTCTCTCTCTCTCTCTCTCTCTCTCTCTCTCTCTCTCTCTCTATATATATATATATATATATATATATATATATTATATATAATATATAATATATATATATATATATATATATTATAATCACTTACGTTTCGCATGTCTTGAACAAATTCCATTTCACCATTTAGTTTATGATTTCGTCAACTGTGGAATCACGCTTTTAATTCCTACTATGAACCAATTAAGTTCAATCCTTAATGACTCGCAAAAGCTTATAACCAAAACTTTATTTTCCTGCAAAAATGCAAATGTTCAATCTTGAAAACTACAGCCATGTATAAACACTACTGTGGAATAAACCTCAAAGAATAGAGGTGTGATTAAATTGCTATAAATGATAGATTATGGTTCATGAAAAAAACAGGAAACATGAAGTGATATATGTAATACGTACCTGATTCTAAAATTGAAATAATTAATCAAATCCATATTAATTCACATAATTTACCTTTATTAAGTTGGCTCTAATATTAAAATTAACAATCCACATTATTAATTCACAGTATCCTATAAATAGCCACCAATAACACTGCTCTTTCTAGTTCTTGTTCAATCACATGATGAAAGATATTATCACCCGGCCCATTAATTGGACACATTATCAATGATTGTCTCGCGTAAGATATCAAGAAAAAAACTTAAAGAAATCATTCATATATATTAAATAAATACAAAAACAAAAATGACTTATTTTGAAATAAAAAAATATTAATTACTAAATGTGTACAGAAATATTAAGAACTAAATGTGTATAAAATGAAAAATATATTACCCTACTAAGGAGTGTTTGGATAAGAAAAAAAAAAGTGCTTATTGTTTATTCCCACAATAAGCTAATTTGAATGTTTTGATAAAATCCAGCTTATTAAATTAAATAAGCTAATTTTAATAAGTATCACTCCCCATGCTTATTGCTTATTCCCACTACAAATAAACTATAAGCAATAAGTTAAAAAACTAATCCAAACACCCCCTAAGTCATTTTTCCCAGCTAACCTAGAGTAACCGGTCATAAAGACTCAATGTGTAGAGTTTAACATGTTGAAAGGGTAAATATAAACGAAAAAAAACATAATAACCAAATATATACAAATCAAAAGATATATTACCAAAGTCATTATCCCTCTGTAAATAACCACCAATCACACTGCTCTTTCTGGTTCTTATTTAATCACATGATGAAAGATAGTATCTACCCTACTTTTTCCAGCAACAAGGCGGCTCCATGCTCCTAATGAACTGCCCACTGGTCTCTTTGATGTTGGCAACAAAACATACAGAGATCTAAGCACATAGTCCATGCATGCCAAATAAACGATCATCATGACTCTTCAACTATCTTGTTATTTATCAAAAACACAAAAATAAACAATACCAAATAACATTCCCCATCAACCATTGATCGGATGGAGGGTTCGAATGGGACAGGGATGGAATCAGATGTTTACCATCATAGCTTGATTATGTTCCTGATTTCTTCGCTGGTCCATCGAATTCAAATAGGTGGCGGATTACGATTGTTATTTATTGGTATATGATCAAGGAAAGATTATTGGACTCAAAATTTGAGCGGGAGTTTAAAGGAGGGTAAAATGGGTATTTTACTCTATAAAATAATGTGCAATGTGGTTTAAATATGAGAGAGAGAGAGAGAGAGAAGAGAGAGAGAGAGAGAGAGAGAGAGAGAGAGAGAGAGAGAGAGAGAGAGAGAGAGAGAGAGAGAGAGAGAGAGGCTGAGGCTGTCGTATTTCAAACAAAGACCAGGTCCAAAGTTTGTCATTTAAATATCCAAATTTGCCATTCCATAAGCTTTGTTATCATCGGAAATTATCATCATCTTCTTGCTGTTTCCAACTGTTTTTTCTCCCCTTTATTCAGCGCAATTCTTGTCTCCATCTACATCTGCACACTCCTTGATCATCTTTTATCTACAAATTCCCCAATTTCTTTAATCCTCACAATCAACCATGAAAAATATGTTAAACTGCTTTTGCTGCACTTCTCACGAAGATCAAGAACCAACGATCAGGTATATATGCTCGCTGATCAAATCTTATTTTGTTCTAGTTACTAATGCTTTCGACTCAATTTCTGGTATATTATATGCAGTGCTCAAAAGAAAACGGATTACCCATGGAATATGTACACCCTCAAAGAACTTGTGCACGCAACCAACAATTTCCATAACGATAACAAGATAGGGGAAGGAGGGTTTGGGAGTGTTTACTGGGGTCGAACAAGTAAAGGGGCTGAGGCAATCTTTTATCCCTTTTTATCCAAATTTTGTTATATAGTTTATGATGATACACTTGTTCACACTAACTTTTGTACATAAACGTTAATATTTTTTTTCTTTTTAAATATATCATGTTGCAGTTAGCAGTGAAACGGCTCAAGTCAATAAACGCGAAAGCTGAAATGGAATTTGCAGTTGAGGTGGAGATTCTTGGAAGAGTTCGACATAAGAATTTGTTAGGACTTAAAGGATTCTATGCTGGGGGAGATGAAAGGCTTATTGTCTATGATTATATGCCAAACCACAGCTTGCTGACTCACCTCCATGGCCAACTTGCTGTCGATTGTCTCCTAGATTGGCCTCGACGAATGAGCATTGCCATTGGTTCAGCAGAAGGATTAGCGTAAGTTCCACTAATCAATGAACAACTCCTCGACAAGACTCGATTGTTCTTACCTCAAGGGTTTAATCTAGATCTTATACTATTTTCTAACTCTTTCTGGTTGAATTTATCATTAATGAATAGGTATTTGCACCATGAAGTAACTCCTCATATAATCCATCGAGACATAAAAGCTAGTAACGTACTTCTGGATTCGGATTTTCAAGCAAAAGTTGCTGATTTTGGGTTCGCGAAACTTATTCCAGATGGGGTTACTCATATGACCACAAGGGTAAAAGGAACCCTAGGGTATCTTGCACCAGAGTACGCCATGTGGGGAAAAGTCTCAGAAAGCTGTGATGTTTATAGCTATGGGATACTGTTACTTGAGATCTTAAGTGGTAAAAAGCCATTAGAGAAGCTCCCTGGAGGTATCAAGCGTGATATTATACAATGGGCAACTCCATTTGTTCAAAAGGATTCGTATGAGCTCATCGCTGACCCCAGATTGAAGGGTAGATTTGATCATGCGCAGCTAAAGGTTGTGGTGAAGATAGCCCTGGCTTGTACTGATAGTGATCCAGAGAATCGGCCCAGCATGCTGGAGGTGGTGGAATGGCTAAAGAGTGGTATTGGTAGCAGGAGGAAGGAGATACGTATTGTTAAAGATCGAGTGGATGAAACCGAGGATGAAGATGATTTCTGTGATGATGATACTGATTATTATGAAACTTTTGATATGAAGAAGCATTCGGGTAGGGTTCCAAAAATGCCATCGAGAACAAGATGAATTAGAGCTACAATTTTCTTAAATCAATTCTCTAGAATTTTTAGTTGATATATATTTATCATGTAATTAAACTTCTGTTACTTTTCTGTTTGATTGGTTTTGCTTATTCTATATTTACATCCGTATTATTTGATGTACTTCTCTTGTGAGTGGGTGATTGTTTACGTTTTTTATTTATTTATTTATTTTTATTTTTTTTACGTTAACCTTAAGAAAGTTGTGCATTATTGGTGACTCTTAAGTTATATGTTGATGTTTTTGTCAATCAAAATTTTATGTCAACCTAGGTGTCACTTAAGTTATATGTGGTGTCACATAATCTTATAATATATTAATAAATCATAATATCCTTTATCTTCTTAAATTATTCTGCCTAGTTGCTTTGGTGAAGACAACCCAAAAAGATCATGCACAACCAGATCAAGTACATATCAAATATAGTTATGGGCTTAGACACTAATCCAACACAGTCACGCTAACGGCTCTTTATGCATGTTGTTGTTTGTTATGTATATGTGGTGGTATATGTATATATCTATATGTATATATGTATGTGCATATGCAATTATATATATATATATATATATATATATATATATATATATATATATATATATATGTGTGTGTGTGTAAGTATGTGTATATGTTTGTACATGTGTTTTTATGTATATGTATATGTATGTATATAATGGTGTATGTATGTGTATGTTTATGCAAAAATGTATGTATAAAAGTGTATGTATTTATGTATGTATGTGTAGGGGTATATATTTGTGGTTGCATGTATATGTGTATGTATGTGCAGTTGTAAAACAGGATTTGATTATTGTCTCAAATTTTTAGCAATTTTGTAAAAAAACAAATGTTGCTACTTTATTTTGTATTTTTGCTGTTTTTTAAGAGTATTTTTACAAATGGAAAAAACTATCAATAAGGTATACAATGGTCAAAAAATTGGCAAAACAAAAAAAAAAGTCCATAGGTAGAGTATGTCACTAAATTCGGTTGTCAATATTCTATTTGAAACAATCAAACTTTAATTACACAGAAATAGTCAAACCCTGCTTTTTCCGGAATGCGTTGGGAATTACGGATGAAAAATTCTTTCGGAAAATTGACGAATAGTAAAAAAAAAATTATCAGAAATCTATCGAAAAATAGCGTTTTTGACTGACTTGGCCATAGGAATATGGCTCCTTTTCAAGCATTACTAATAACAAATAATAGCATAACTAAGTTAAGTCCTTACCACAACCGTGATTTACTGAATATTTTCTTACTGATATAGTAATAATGTTAATGTTCAAGCTATCAAAGATCCATTATTTGAAAGAAGGTACTGGATAAGCGTTACTTTTTTTTTTAACTTAATAATATACATCCACGAGATAAGAGTAAATTTGGTACTCAAAATAACCGAAGATTAAAACGTTCATTATAAGAGTGTACATAGCTATATTCAAATACCACTTCAAACTTGGGCGATAAATAGTAACATACTGAAATAGAAAATAAATAAGTAAAGACGATAGAGTGAAGATCAAATAAGAAGGAAATTTTTGGTAGGAAGGTAAGAAGTTTTTTTTCTACATATTTTTTTCGCGAACAAACAAAATGAATCATTAGATGATTCATTTGTAAGATGATTCACAAGAAAAAAATTTCAAAAAAACATCTCGATGATTCATTTATATAATGATTTTGTTGTTATTCACTAAAATTATCATAAAAGTAAATTTTTTCTTAATTTACTTAAAAATGAATAATAAAGATATTTTTTTGAGAATTTTTTCTTGTGAATCATCTTACAAATAAATCAACTAGTGATTCATTTTTTTTGTTCGTCAAAAAAATATGTACAAAAAAAAACTTCTTACCTTCCTACCAAAAAAAAAATTCTTACCAGATCTATATCCAAGGCGATAAATAATAACATGGTGAAATATAAAATAAATAAGTAAAGACACAATACATTATAGAACCACTTGAAGACAAATAAGTAATTACTTGTGACATAGCAAAATCATGTTAATCTTCCACCAGAGACCAGACGTATTTAAGATGATAATTCAAAAATATAATACTTCACAACACCAAAGAAACAAATTGTCTCATTATTCTTAGAATATGACTTAATTAATTTTAAAATAAATTGATAATGACTTATTACAACACAACACCAAAGAAACGGACATGACTATTTCAAAACACACATAAATGTACATAGCATCAACAATATTTATAATTGTTTAATTACTTGTCACTTTATATATGTCGGAAAAATGTTTAATCTTATATAATATATTGCAAGAACAATGATTTTTTAAGTAGTAGCTTCTAAATAAAAAAAATATATCCATAATCTATCTTTAAATAAGAGTAAATGGTATAAAAGACACTAAGATTTTTACGAAAATTTAATTTTGACACTATTATTTTTTGTTATAATTTAGTTGGTAAAATTTTTAATTTTTACAATGTTTTACACTACATTTCTAGTTTGTTTCGATATTGACCATTTAACAGGTTTTCCGGTTGCTTCTCTATAACCTTATGCCACATCTGCCTCCCTCTTTCAAACCCATTACCAAGTAGCTTCCAAGTACTCATATGCCCTCATACATTAACGCCTTTTTTCCCTCAATCAACACCTCTATCATCCTCATCACATGTGTCTTCCAACCGACGACTCTGCCGACGAGGCTTCCCCACCGCTAGCGCCTCCTCAAGCGAGGGTTCCCCAATTGGGTCATGAATCTTATTCTTTGGATCCCAAATCGTGTTGTTGATTAGTTTTAGCAGAATCAGAATCAAAGTGGGATTTTGTCAAATGTAACTTTGACTCCTCCATAAACAAATGCAACAGACCTAATCAACAGTCTCGTTTATTTTTGTGAGTTATTTGTTTTCACTTGTTCGATTGATTAGGAAGGGTGATAATAAGAACTCCATGATATTAATGTAAAAATTGACATCATCATCGCTCAAACAACCCACTACCATCTCACAACCTCCATCATACCCATGGTGTTTAAACACGAGTACAAAACTAGGTTTTGAACATGCAAAAAATGTATTATTATAAGCATTTATGTCGGTTTTTTCCTTCAATGTGTAAGGAAAGATCGTGTCATTGATGTTAAGTTATTTTGTAGTTTCATTGTGGTGAGTATAACCCGTGAAAACTCATTATTATAGGTCAAACTCATCATTATATGGTAGATAGTTTTGGGTATGTATTTATATCGTCATTAATAATACACATATAGTGATGTGGTTTTTTCATACAGAGTGATTAATGTTTACATATAATCATTTATTATAAATATTATCGCCACCATTTTTTTACTTTGGGAGACGCAAATATAAATAAGTTGTCAAAATAAATTATCTTTACTAATATGTTTAATTAGTTTATCATAACTATTGTTTATATATTCCGACAAACAAAAATATAAGTTGTCACCAAAATAATATATGCTCACGTGTTATTTCTTTTATTATGATTATTGATAACGTTTGTTGACATGTTTAATATTATATCATGAATATTGTGTACATTTCGTCACTCACAAGAATAAAACGGTGACCACAAAATACTTATAATTATGTGTTTTTTCGTTTAGAGTGATAAATGTGTACTTATAATCACCGTTTATAAATATTATCACGATCATTGTTGACTTTTCGAGACATAAATGTATTTAAGTTATCGGCATAAGTTATCATCACTAACATGTTTAATATTTTATCTTTAATATTTTTTATATACACCGACAAATAAATATTTAATCCATCACAAAAATAATCTATACTCACATGTTATTTCTTTTATTATGATTATTATTAATATGTTTAATGTTTTATCATTACATTTGTTTACATACACCGAAAAATAAATATTTAAGACGCCACTAAAAATGTTATCTCTTTTATTACCACCCCCAGCTCTAAATCATGCGTAGGGTATCGTGTCTCATGCGGTTTTAGCTGCCGCGATGCGTAGGCTATCACTCATCCTCTCTGCATGAGGACCGCCCCTAACCCTGTGATGGATGCATCACAGAACACCACAAAATCCTCAACTCCTTCCGGAGTGTTAGGACTGGCGCCTCACACAGACGTTAACGGAGGGTCTCAAAGGCTCCCTGCTGCTCGGGACCCCACCAGAAATCCACCCCTTTTCTCGTGAGACGAGTGAGGGATACTGCAATCTTGGAGAAATCCCGTATGAATCTCTGGTAGTATCCTACCAAGCCCAAAAAGCTCCTAATATCTGAAGGGGATTTCGGAACCTCCCACTGCATAACCGCCTCGATCTTGGCCGGATCGACCCAGATCCCTTCTTGGTGAACGAGATGTTCAAGGAACTAGACCTCTCGTAACCAAAACTCACATTTCGAAAACTTGGCGTACAGTTGTTCCCGCCTCAGGATTCCCAACAGCTCTCGCAGATGCTCCTCATGTTGTTCTCGGGTCTTGGAATACACCAAGATATCATCTATAAATACTATGACCGAGCGGTCAAGCATCGGTCTACAAACCCGATTCATCAAGTCCATAAACACTGCTGGCGCGTTGGTGAGCCCAAACGGCATCACCACGAACTAGTAATGTCCATAACGAGTTCGAAACACGGTCTTCTCCACGTCCTCCTCCCTGACCCTGACTTGGTGGTACCTGGACCTCAAATCTATCTTGGAAAACCAAGATGCGCCCTGTAGCTGATCGAAGAGGTCGTCTATCCTCGTGAGTGGGTAACGGTTCTTCATCGTAAGCTTGTTCAACTCCCGGTAATCAATGCACATCCGGTGTGAACCGTCCTTCTTCTGGACGAAAAGAATCAGTGTTCCCCATGGAGAACTGCTAGGTTGAATGAACTGCTTGCCTAACAGTTCCTGTAGCTACGACGATAGCTCCTGCATCTCAGGCGGCACCAATTGGTACGATGCCTTAGTGATAGGGGCCGCACCTGGCACCAGGTCGATCCTGAACTCGACCTACCTCTCTAGAGGTATCCCTGGAAACTCTTCCGAAAACACATCTGCGAACTCCCCGACCACTGGTACATTGGAGACCGAATTCTGGTCCCTGACTCGCGTATTTACCATGTACGCTAGATAACTCGTACACCCATGCTGCATGTACTTTCGAGC